AATAAGATCATGAAACTTTGCATACTAACTGAACTAACCATAAAGCAGTGCTTATGTTATTTACTTTTTTTAAAATATCATTATTTTCACTGTAAAAAGAAATTACCTAAACTATCGGCGCGTAAGCTTGGTTCCTGCAGGAACCAAGCTTAAAGTAAATAACATAAGCACTGCTTTATGGTTAGTTCAGTTAGTATGCAAAGTTTCATGATCTTATTTAAAGTATTTTATGAATAACAGCGGTTTATTGTTCAGTTTGGAGGTAACTTTTGGATTTTTTTTCTATCGAGAAAATTTTACGGAATCGTGTTTTCGTCTAACATAAACCTTAACATTAATCCTCAACTTTACCATATATTTATTTCAAAATTAATGCTGCAATACTTTCGGCATAACGGAGGATCTTGCTAAGCCATTTGAGGTTATATTTCCCCTTAACATATGTATATAAAGCGCAAGTCTGGTCGTACATGGAGTACTGCTGTCACACACGAGCAGATGCTGCAAAATACTACATCAATGGAGAGACGCGCTAAGAGCCTTATTGGTAACCTTGAGTTAGTTGGAACGGAAATTACATACCTTAATTCCTCTTCCCCTCTCTACTATCGTACAACGAGATGGTCTGCGAACTTTCCCTTTGTTGCAGATATTTCGCATATTTGAACCAAATGGTTTAATTCGTCTTTCTTTTTATGACATGAAACTTTGTCTTTATGTAACTGAGAGTTCTAATCTGTAATCAGATTCGAATTTGTAAGTTTTATTATTTAATGATAAGGAAATTATTATCATCACTTTGAAAAATTATACATTTTCCAATTTTTTTTTAATTTTCTTAAAATGAAACTGATTAAAGTAGTAATTTCAAAATTTATTTGAATATAATTTCAATAAATCGTCAATAAAATGTTTGATAACCCTTTTAATTTGAATTTATTTAATATTTGAACATTATGTGCAGTTTGGAAGCAGAGCTTAAATTAAAATAGGTAGTCTTCTAGACGGAAATACCACTCAACTTGTTCAAGCGTTAGTGGTAATTTAATTTTGCACCTCGCTTACGAAATTCAGGTTATTACTTCATCACCAATTAGCAACCTTTATTTTAATATTTAATATCTGCTTTTGTTGATAAAATTAAGTCGCAGTATATAAAATAAAAAAACACAGCGGACTTCGAAATTTTTAAATTAAAACAAGTGTTATAGTGACGCCTGTCACCCAGAGGGGTAGGCAGAGACTACGGACTTCCATTTGGCACGATCCTGACATACCTCTTTCGCCTCCTTTACATCCATATTGGAATTAATGAAATCAAATTATAAAATTTTCAACACTTCGTTAAACGACCTTCGATGCAAATCATCATGATAATTAATGGCATATTATTGTATTGTTTAACTTATTCATTTGCAAACTCCGTAGCTCATACGACATAGAAGAAACGATTTTTAGAAAACATTAAAAAAGATGAATGAATCCGGTGAAGTCGTTCTCAAACTATGGCGTGACCAAGGGAAACAGGTATTTATTTCTATATATTGTATAGATTAGAAGAACTATTTAATGACATAGACGTTTACTTAATTAGAAATTTGAAGTTTAATTTGTCTTGCTTTTAATATGGCGAAAAATATTATTATTAAATTCATATTCTATTTGAGGAAGCACTTAATGTAGCTGAAAAGTACTAGATATATATGTTTGAGAGTTGACGAGGGATGCAGAAAGTTTACAAAACTGGTTCAAGCGTTCAAAACTTTAGAAATCCAACAAGAGAAACGCAATTCAAAAAAAATTTTGCATAGGTAGCTTTTCAGTTGCACTTTCAAATTCCTTTTTTCTTAATAGTCTTACAAAATAACAAAATCTTAATAGTCTCTGTTATAATATCCATATATTATTGTTCTCTTAAATGTGAACACAATTCTTTTCTAAAAATAATGCCTCTCAGTAACGAACAAGTTATTAAAAAAATATCCATAAAGTGTAATTTTGTTTTTTTTAATTTTACAACCTTTTAAAACGATCAAAAAATCTTCTTTTTTATATTCTTACACTGTATTCAGAATTCAGATTCAGATTTACAGTGTGTTCAGAATATAAAATTTCAAGCTCATCAGGAGAGCCATGCTGCAGTTCTATTAGTAGTATAGTTGTAGCACAAATGGTTCGGCTCGACCGGGGAAGGACCACCCTCTCACAGAATACCAGTGTAAAATAGTAGCTTAATGCTGCTGTGTTGTAGAGAACCGAAGACCCTTTTTACTGGAAACGAGGCATTCCATCTTAGACCTCACGGGTGACAACACATCTGCATTTTGATTCGTAATCGAGCATCGATGTAGATATCTATGGGCCACAGCAACCACTTACCATCAGGTAGACTGTGTGCTCGTTTATCACCCTATACAAAATAAAAAAAGTTAGTTTAAAATCGGATATCTGTTCGACCCGAACAGATATCCGCGAAAGGGAGTTTATAAAAACTTGTTAAAAAGGGTTCCTGTTTTTCCTCTTTAGTATACTGTAAATATTAAAGTAAAATTTACATTCTATGTAGTTTTCACTGCTGGGCACAGGTCTCTTCTCATTGTTGAAAAGGTGGTCCAGTATATAGTGGCAGACATTGCCGGTGGAGATCAAACCTGAAACACCGGCGAATTGCGAAATTTACGGCGACTGCTTAGAGTTGAGCAACATCCGCCAATTTCTTTAAATTACTTCAAATTCTCCTTATTTTTATGAGTTATTATCTCCTTTGGACTAATATAAAATGTCGGGCTACTAGGAAGAAGGGTGTTCGGTACGCGTCACTAAAAGTACGAAATACAGCATAATTATGCTGTTATTTACGATATAATTTCGTTATGAAATAAAACACAGATTTCTTTGGATAAAATAGACACGTTTTGCTTTGACGTGCACTCCACAGACTACTGAAAAGTCATTTTAAATCTACTTTGCAAATGAAATTTCAACAATCAATGATCATTAAGTCAATCTCTTAGTAATTATTTGTTGGCAATTTTTTAAAATTCTGTGGCGACAATTCCTACGAATTTGTATTGTATACTCGTGAATATCTACTATGTACAACTGTTTGACCATAGACTATTTTGTGTTTGACATTGGCAGAATTTACGATAACAATAAAAAAAGAAACACATATTAGTTTATAAATATTAGCTTTACGTATTCACGTAGAGGTTTTTAATTTACTGTAATTAACTTTGTAACTACATAGCAATTTTAATGAATAATAAAAAGAAAAGCTCATAACATAGTACCAAAGACTTGATCTTAATGGAGCCCATATGTTACGCCCCCGACTGCGTATTCATTACACCAGCTTGTATAACTAACTCGATTTAATGTTTTTAGGGAAGTTATAAAATCTAAAATTCTGAATTATTATGCAAATTCTTAGGTTTAATTAAACAGGGCCTTTAAACGCCGTTATTTCACACAACTGTTAATTGCACATATCCTACAACTACACTTTTGTAATTTCTGCGCCGCGATTTTATCCGGGTTAGAAATTAGTTTTTCAGGGGAGAATTTTGTAAGTGTAACAATGACAATTTATCTTTTACACATGTCGAAGACCCACTTTGAGGTGCAGTCTTGATATAACCGCGTGGCACAACCCTACCGTACAATGGCGCCGCAAGGGAATCTCTGACCCTTACCTGCGTGTGGATGTCATAAGAGACAGCAGAAGGAAATTAAACAAGAGATGGACAGTAGCATCTTCATTAAGAATTCAAAATAAAATAACTACAGTTGTTAACCCGCACGCACAGTGTGGCAACTGTGGCAAATATGAGGGAGGCCTATGTCAAACTGTGGGCTTTCAATAGGTTGCAATTATGGTGATGATGATTATAGTGATATGCCTTAATCAAGTTTTGAGGCATAAATTTAATGGTGATCTGATAATTTTACCGCTTATACTAAAAGGTAAATTTGAAGCATCGTGGAAATGAGAAGGTAATAAAATAATCCAACGGCCTAACATTGTTTTACATGAGAGCGATATTTCCAATTATTTGATACTCATTTAGTTGCGCTTGGATTATTGAATATAGTTTTTAGACATGGTTTTATACGTACTCGGTGCTGAAGTCAACATTTTGAAGGGAAGAAAGCGAAGCTTCTAACCTTCAAATAATACAATACGAGTCCGCCAACTTTCCTGATATATTGTTATTTTTCTTAGCTCTATTACCCTCATACAATTTAAAAAAGAGATGAGATTATTACTTTGGAACAGGATTTAAAGATTTATTTTATGTGTAGGATTTTTTATTGTCTTTAGCACACCCTTACTTATTCTGCCGTCTAATTGTTTACTTCTGGATTCGTGTTTAAAAACATAATTATGTAATCCATATTTCATCTTAAACATCAGGAGTGACACCGCATGTATGGTCCTCATTGTTTCAAGTTGGTTGCAGCTCTTTAGGGATGCAGTAGCTACTTAACATGAAATGGATTTTAGTTTGCTTATCATCCATATTCAAAATATTAAAAAACCGTTATTTATTATTACATTTTGAATGGTACATGTGTGGCTATGAAATATTCTTTAGAGCCTTTTAATAATTTTTGTGGTACTCATCCTTTCATCATTACACTCTGTCACAAGTACACTGATGAACGTATGTCTCTCCAAAAATGTCTAGTTAGGTACTATTAGTTTAGAACACAGTTCGTCGTATTAACCCTTAACCACTTACCCGCGGTCACCATGACCGCAAAGGTTTTTTAATCGTTTATATCTCGACGTATCTACTACGTTTGTCTTACGCTTGTGTGCGTTCATTTACCTTCTCAAAATATCGGTTAGTAACGCGCTGTCGCTCGACATGTGTCAACGTGCGCGCATTCAACTACAATAAATAAGACATTTTCGTAAGCGGTCACCCTGACCGCACGTAAGTGGTTGTGTGATTATTTTGTCTTGATATTGTTTTTTGTTGTTTTGGTGTAAAATGAGTATAAATGACGAAAATATTGCGCGGTGGCTAGAAATAGAAGTGTCAGATGAGGAGGAGATACTGAATGAAGATACCAGCGACGTGGAGCTCGATGTTGCGGAAGATTATGTGCTCCAAGAGGACTGTGAATATGACTCTGAAGGTAGCAAGAGCGGATCGTCTTCATAAGAAGAGCAATTTCCGCTTGGAAAAGAAGATGATGTTTCTTCGTTTTTTATTTACTCACGAAGTAGATCGCCAGTTACGCGTGACAGCTTTTCATCAGAAGATGAGGTTCCTCTCGTGCAACAACAAATTACGAGAAGGATTTTTTTTGGCAAGAACCGATTCCGATGGTCTTCTACGCCTTGCACTATAATTATAGTCGTTCAAGAACTCTGCGGCATAATATAGTTTCACAAGCGCCAGGAGTAAAGCCAGCATATCGAGATATTCTTACCAATGATACTACGCCTCTCGATATTTGGAAGCTTTATTTCTCAGATGAGATGCTTGAAAAAATTGTTCAGCATACTAATGAAAAAATAAGGAAGATGATATCGCAATACAAAAAATAAACGAATGTTCAGGATTTGAATCCCATGGAGTTGAAGGCCTTTATTAGTATTTTATTGTACTCTGCTATCTTTAAAGAAAATCACGAACAATATACTTCAGGGTATAATACTAATGGTTCTGGAAGAGAAATATATCGCTGCGTAATGAGTAAAAGTAGATTAGAAATTTTGTTGAATGCTGTTCGTTTTGATGATGCAGAAACTAGAGAGCAGAGGAGAGAGGCTGATCTATCAGCTCCTATATCGGAACTGTTTGCTTCGTTTATCCAGCAATGCCAAGAAATCTACAACATATGTACCTGCGCTTGTGTAGACGAGATGTTAGTGGCTTTCCGTGGTCGCTGCAAATTCAAAATGTTTATGCCAAAGAAACCAGATAAGTACGGCTTGAAAATAATGTGCCTAACAGACGCAAGAAGTAGTTATATTGTCAATGCTTACATTTATTTAGGCAAAGGTTCTGATGGGCTCACTTTGACTGCGGAACAACAGCGACTATCGAAGCCAACTCATTGAGGGAACTAACAGAAACATCACGGCTGACAACTGGTTTTGTTCTGTAGAACTTGTCAATGTTTTGAAAGATAAACAATTGACTTTTGTTGGTACTTTGAAAAAAAAAACAAGCGCGAAATACCTCCAGAATTTAAGGCATCTAAGAAAAGAACAGTTGAATCATCGGTTTTCGGTTTCACCAAAGATATGACTTTGTCATCTTATGTACCATATAAGAACAAGGCTGTTATTATGATTTCGAGCATGCACCATACAGCAAGCGTTGATGAAAATACTAAAAAAAAATAGAAATGTACTATAATAAAACGAAAGTAGGCGTCGATTTACTGGATCAAAGGTGTTCAAATTATTCTACAGCTCGTCGTACTCAAAGATGGCCAATGGTCATTTTTTTTAGATTGTTGGACATATCGCTTTCAAACGCCTACATTGTCAGTTTGTCTAATCAGGCGCAAAAGACCGGAAGTAGATTCAAGTTCATAAAAAAAATTGGCAGAACAGTTAACACGACCGCACATGGAGCGACGAAGAACGAATGAACACATTCTGCGGGATATTAGAGGTTCCATTGGCCGAATACTTCAAGTAGAAGAAGAAATACCAAGCAGTTCCGGTGCTGACAAGCTGGAAACTCGCAAGACCTGTTCAACCTGCGACTCTAAAAAAATAAAACGTAAAACATTTCACCTTTGTTTTGTTTGTAAAAAAAGCCAATATGCGTAGAATGTTAAAAGATGTGCCGTAATTGCCGCGAAAAAATTTAAACTTTTAGTACTTGCATTTTTTTTAAACAATTAACTTTTTTTTTGATTTCATTAACTAATTATTATTTTAAGTATAATTATTAATTTAACTAAAATTAGTCTCAATAAGTACAACTTCCAAGTTCCTTTTTTTACAGATCTCATTTTCTAAAGAAATAAAATTTTTAAGGGTTAATTAAGAACCTAGCAAAAAATACTAGGTTTTAAATGGCAGAGCAAAACATATATATTTTGTTAATTTTAGTTTCAATAAATAGTATTAGTATATATCTATGTAGTTTTCATATATCCTTCTCGATTTTAACCTGATTATAGTATAAACATGACGATAACTCTGGAGCGGTCACTATGACCGCACGTAAGTGGTTACGTGACAGAAAACAGAGGTAAGTGGTTAAGGGTTAAGTGACTGAAAAAAGACAATTATCAAAATCTGGAAGGATGTGAATGGGTCAACTGCATCACGTTCATTCATTCATCACAACCTATGAAATCCCTGCTGATCATAGAATTTCCACACAGATTGCCTCGTAAAGGGGATTTTGCCATAGTTGCCAACCAGTTGGTAGCGGCTGCTTTTATTCTTTTGATTTGTTATCAAGAAGATGCTGCTGCAGTTTCCCTTCTTGCTTCAGTTTCCATCCTCCGCCTCTTAAGACACCCATGGGAACATATGTGGTGACGGATATTCTCTTATATCCACTATACGGATTATAAATGATGCCAAAGATACGATAAGACGAAGTCGTTATATCTATTCGTTAATATTCACACGTTGATAAAATGTGTCTAAATTTTCTGAAAAGTGAATGAGGAAATATTGCCTCTTTAGTGTGACGTAAAATTCTCTTTTATTTTACGACGCCTGGTAATAAATGCTAAAATGTAAAAAGTTATAATCATTGCAGGTGAGTCAGAAACGTGCTTTGTGGCATTCCTTGACCAATGTTCAACAGCGGACTTGTGAAGAGCTGTAATGATGATGATGATGAATATTCAATTTAGAATAAAGAGATACCTAAATCTAGGTATACTTGTAGAGTCTAGAGTATACTAATACGTGAACAGAAAACAATGTAACTTTTAAATCTTATTGAGTGCATGGAGGTTTGTCTATTTTGGCATAGTTAAAGTTTTTATAGAAAATGTGTGCAGAAAGGTGAATTTATATATAATACGTATTACAAACACATTCAGTAAAATAAAATAAAACAAAATATTCTTTATTAACGTTCATGCTACCAATGTCAAACTCATAATATAATCATAATATATAGTTTGTATTCGAATAGTCTCACAGAGTAGAGATTATTGCCAAACATTTCAAATTATTCTTAACAAATTATTACTACTTAACCTTGTATTCTTTCAAATTTTCCTTTTTCAATAGTCTAAGGGAGTGTACGTCAAAGCAAAAGAGCGTTTTATAAATTTTATTTATGAGATAGCCGTTATTTATACAAACCGAATTTTTTTATTATTTATGGTTGAATATCGATAGTATGTGATAAATGCATCAAAATAGCAGTATAAAATACAAAAATAAAACATTTAATTATGTCCATCACTTGTTTATTTTACGCTGTCACCTCATATGACACCCACGGGTAAATATGGATGGGGAATGGTAATGGATATTACTCACACTTACTTTCACCGCCACTTAAATTGTAACTCATACAACAGTCCGATACTAGAAAATAGCGTTACCAGTGCTTGTTGAAATATTAGAAGTAGTAATTTACTTAGTTTTATATAAAATAATATTTTGAATGGAATCTGGTTTGATAAATATTCCAATGTAGACAAAAAAGAGATGACTTATGCGTACTCCCGTTCATTTTTATAGGCTTCTTTTTACTAAATATTTAAAATTAATTTAAATTCTTGCAATATCATTTAACCGGGATACCTTAACTGCGCAGAATTAAATCTACACCAATGCCAAGAAACTGAAAAACAATACAACGTGGTCATTCCCCGGTAGAGCCGACTCATTTGTACTACAACTATATATATATATATATATATATATATATATATATATATATATATATATATATATGTATATATATATATATATATATATATATATATATATATCTGTTGTATCTCGTAATATATGACTGTTATATCTCACAGAATACCATCGTAAAATAGCAGCTTCATGCTGCTGTGTTTCGTATGGCAAGTGTAGAGAACCGGAGACCATTTTTACAGGAAGTGAGGCATTCCTTATTAGTCCTTACGGGTAACAACGCATCTGCATTTTTATTCGTAATCGATAGCTGTAGATGTTTATAGACCACGGCAACCACTTATCAAGTGGACTATACACTCGTTTGTCACCCTTAAGAAAAGTTTAAGGTATTTTAAAAAAGATTAGGCTCTTGTCTTGAAGGTCCCTCAATCGTGTTGGATGATGAGATGTAACATCACTTCGGAACGCCAGTTGATTGAGCTATGACGTCATACATTTGGTAGAAAGAACGGATAAGAATGATAGAAGGATATCTGATAATTTCCAGGCTAATATAAAAATGTTCTGGAAACTCGTAAGAACTGCCAGGGGAAATACAAAACAGCCTATAATTTATGCTATAAGAGACGAGAATGGATGTATTCTGAATGATGAAGTTTCGAATTTAAACAGATGGAAGGAATACTTTGAAAGCGTGTTTATGAGTGAAGAGTCGTTTGAATTAAATGAACAAGAAATTCCGAAAGAAGTGGAAAGGGGTATGGAGATAAGTGTAGGTGAAATAATAAAAGCAATGAAAAGCATGAAAGCAGGTAAGGTAGCTGGATATGATAGAGTATCACCCGAGATGCTAAGGGCTGGAGAGGGAGTGGTGGCAGGCCTGCTGTACACCTTGTTTAATTTGTGTTGGGAATTAAAACGGGTACCGGATGACTGGTGTAAAGCAGTTATAGTACCAATATATAAAGGAAAAGGGTCACAGCAGAACTGCAAAAACTACCGTGGTATCAGCTTGCTTAGTATTGTGGGTAAACTGTATGCTAAGGTGTTAATTGAAAGAGTTGTGAAAGAAACTGATGGAAAAATTTGGGATGTGCAAGCGGGTTTTCGAAAGGGTATGGGGTGTACAGATCAAGTCTTTTCCATGCGCATGATTGCGGAGAAGTTTTTGGCTAAAAACCAGAAGGTTTTTTAAGCATTCATGGACTTGGAAAAGGCTTATGACAGAGTGGACAGGGAATGTGTTATGGCAAACACTGAACTCATATGGGTTGAGCGCTGGTTTGATACAGGCATTGAGGTCTCTTTATAGGGGTTCTAGTGC